CACTACATGGGATACACCAAACATATTTATCTCATTGGAATGCTAGCATGGAAAATGAAATGGAAAAATCCTGATTACTTTCTACATGTATTTATTTAATAATTTAGTTATTTATTTATTTGTTTAATAATTTTTCAAATGTCATTTGGATTCATAGAATTTAGAGGAAAGCATGCACACATGTGAGGAGATACTCACCTCATCACCACCTTCTGAATCAGAATCAAAGTTGAATGGGTCATCATATCGCGATATCATAGATAAATAATCAAAATTATTATGATCATCAGGTCTTTTATAATTCCGCCTCATCGCGGCATTGTTTGATTCATCTTGGCATCCAAACTCATCATCAACATCGTTGTTGCAGTCTTCTTCATCATCAATTTCCGATGAAGAATTTACTGCTTCACATTCTCCTATATCAGGCTTCTCCTTCTCTTCCACTTCTTCCTCCTCTTTCTCCTTCTCATCATCACCGTCATCAGTACTGTTTCCATTAGTAGTTCTCTCCCTGGCTCTCAATTCTCTTGCACGGTACCTCTGTTGATAAAGTTGTATATCCTCAATAAGTCTATTAAAATCTATCATATGTGCAAATCGCGAGCGTGCAACTTTCTTGAGCATGTCTTTGACTCTATGATCAGGTCCCCGAAAAAACATAAGCCCAAAATTTATGATCTCTGCAGCAAGTTTGTCCTCCTCTGATGGCTCTTCACGCTCCCTCTCATCATCAGCATCAACATCTCCATTACTGTTTTTATGGATACTGTCATCACCATGGTGATGATAACCAACAGCACCTTCTAAAACTTCTTCATTATCAGAATCTCTTTCCATACAGTTTGTTCCTTCTAAAGGATCATATTGCAGTCCACAATAACACCTTATAACTTCTCGATCAAAAACTTCATGACTATTACTCAGGCAGTTACACCTACGTTCATTACTAATGTTGTTCTGTCCATCTTTATCTTCACGATGATTTAAATGATCTAGATCATCTTCATCATGCCTAGATGACCCAAGAAATATATTTTGTCCATTGATGGTAGCATTACCATTCACAACAATATCTGAACTAGGAGATTGTATATTATCATCTCCATCAAAGCTAGTATTGAAGTCACTGTTCATTTCTGTAATATCAAAATCAATATCGATAAAGTCATTCATAACATTTGAATTTTCCGCTGAAGCCAAGATGCCTTGCATTACTGATTCATCTTCATCTGATTGATCAATCCCATTAGTTAACAATGGTGCATTATTACCAGTATATCCATTACTTGTAGATGGGGCACAATTCAGATGACCATTCCTTGATTGGCAAAGTCTGTACTCATTTTGTTCCTCGGTGTCTTGTACGCCTCGTCGCATGCAAGCAGTGCATTGCGCTTGGGTTTCTGTGTCCTCTGTTTCTGATGAGTTCAAATCAATTCCACCATCCACCTGCTCGCTATCACTCACATTTTCCTGCGCTGAATCAGTGTGATTCAAACTTGTAGCCATTGTCACTGTTTCACCGCTAACCTGTACTTTGTGTGAAGTAGTGCCTGTAAAAAAATATATCCGGTTTTATAAATGAATTACACTTAAATGGTTCAAACATACACAAGTAAAATAGATACGTATTGCTAATGAGACCACCGAGTCAAAGTAGTCATTATGTTACTACCTATAAACCACCTTCCCAATATCTTGGGCTGTACTTTCATATGATGGATGGATGTCGGCAAATCCGAGAAATTGCACAAACAAATATTTCCTTTACGAAAATAGATTGTTGATGGATACAACTTAAAAAATGCAGGCCTAAACTAATCATTCATTTTTTTCATTGTGTCTTATTTCTGCATAAATTATGGGTCACTGTACAATTTGGTTTTTCGAGACAATAATATTTATAAAGGAATGGTTTTACAGACTGTGTTTGAACAGGAAATGCAAGATGTCTTAATATCATATGTCTGTGATCAAGCAAAAAGCAAAAAATGTGTAATTGAATATGAGTGACATACAATGAAGAGGAAAAATAAAACCCAAGTTGTATGTATTGGATTAACGTTTAATAAATCAATAGGTTAAATATCAGTGTTAAGGCTACACAGATTTAATTTTATGGATGACATCCGCGCACGCATTAGTTTTCGCCTGTTCTCAACAACAACAACAAAAAAATCTCCTACGACGAGTCTCTACAGATCGGTTTTCTGTCCGGAACTTGCCGACTCATATGTCGCAAAGCGCCGACTTGTCGTAAAACTCGTTTAGGACTACCTCAAAAGTTCGCTGATTCCCGGCGTCCTTTGCGAATGGTAGGTAGGACGCAGGTAACTAGTAATCACCATATTGTTCCATTTGGGTCGGTTTTCCGGCCGGAAGGCACGTGACTGAGTGACGTAATTTGAAAACATTCCAAGTTCCGTTCTGCGTAAACATGTCTATAATACTACAATAAAGCCATGCTCAAACATACTGCCTGCTTAGATTTACACATTTGAGATGTTTCTGACATTCCTCGCTGTTTCTGTAAAAATTTATAACAAAAGAAACAGTTTTTTATTCGCCCAACTTTCGAAAGTAAAAGGAAACCCCTGAACGGCCACGAGCGTAAGCGCTGACGTCAGGTAACTAAGGGAAATGGAACAAGCAACGAGAAAGTGGTGTACCAATCAGAATGCCGGAACCGTTACTAGTTACCGGCCTCTTGTGGCTTGGTACGCCATGACACTTGAGGCGGGAACCAGCCAACCTCAAAACCAAACTCCGCACAGTTAGATGCGCGTTACGTAAAGCGCAAAGACCTATGGGAAAGAGATTGCCTCAAAACATGCAAATTTTGCCATAAATGATCCAACATGGCGACCACACCACCAAAATACGTGAGCATAAAAGTTCAGAGGTGAAACGAAGGGATTGTTGTAGACTGGTACAGATTGACATTGGCCAGGGAGACGTTATTTACATGTACAGCTATACGAGACGTCGGTAGCGGCAAGCGAGTTTCGCCCAGACAACTTTGAGAACATATTGTCCAGAGTGGCTGTCCCGCGTTTCTTCTGCAATGATGAGAGAAATGGGAGAGGAGTGGAGGTGTATAGTGGCCTAAAAGTCGGTCAGGCGACAAGTCAGTTCGGTTGCTTTGTCCGCATTGAAGTCGACAAAACTGCAACGAAAGCAGCAGAGCTCCTTGACCGAAGTCCCCTTATGGGGTGAAGAAAATTTTCTTCTTATTTTTTTTTCATTTTCTGATTCGAATAATTTGCTTGCACACACATTCAGTAATATTTTGATCATATGACACATTTTCATCAAGATACATGTACATAAATTTTCTGCATCCAAATTTTTTTTCAATATCGAGCCT